TAAGAAGGGACCATTCCCTGGAGAAGGATGTCATGCTTGGTAGGGTGGAGGGTCGACGAAAGAGGGGGAGGCCTTCAACGAGATGGATTGATATGGTTGCTGCAATGATGGGCTCAAGTATAGCAGGGATTGTGGGGCTGGTGCGGGATCGGGCAGTGTTTCGTTCTCCTGTGTATTGGGTCGCTATGAGTTGGAAACGACTTGACGGCACTTAACAACAACAACAACCACTGAGAAGTGATTAGGTTTAGGACCCACCCTGCTAATTAACATAACAGGAAAATACTGATTTCCAAACAAGGTGTATTTATAAATACAGGGGTTAGGGTGTTGAGATAACTTTTCTGGGGACACAATTTAATCCATAGCAATTCATTCCTCCCTGACCTCTAAAATCTCCTGGGTTATCCTTAGCCTATCTGTAACTTAATATTCTTCTGAAGCATAGTCCACATTCCCCACTTCCCTTTGTCCTTATCACCTTTCTACTTACTTCTGCTCAGTGAACTGAAATCAGGGTTAGTGGTAAAATCTTGTCCCTCATGATTGCCTTCTGTCCAGTCAAGATGAATGGCTGTTACTTGGATCAGCTCCATAAGTCTTTGTGGGGATACTACTCTTCAGTCTTTGGCAGGTTTCCAAGATTATAGCCACATGGTTTTATTTTTGTTCCTCCTTCACCTTGGAGGCTGACTGAGGAAGATGGCTGTCCTAGATTCTTGTCCTCAGTATCTCAAACCTATTCCATTGTTTGGTAAGAACATACCTCCTGCACTTCCTCTGTGTCCAGGAATTGATCTTAATTAAGGTCAGAATTTATCCAACCCACTTTTGTGAAGACAGACTGCCTTGTCAAACCAGATCTGGCACACATAGTGGGGCTCAGGACCCTGTTGTTCTGTTTCCTAGAATATGTAAATAGGGTGCATGTCATTCCTTGTGTCTGTTACTGCTGCCCTCCAGTCAGTCCTGCCCTGGCATGTGCTGAGGGAACAGCATCACAGAGACACTTCAGGTATGTTTCAGTGTGAACAGCTGATTGATGCTCTCTATCTGTGATAGACTTTTGTCTCTCCCATGCCCTTCCTTCTTTCTCATGAAATGACCCCACCTTCAGGTGTCTTTACCCCTAACTTCAAGGAAGGTTATCTTGTTAGACCTCTGTCTGCCAAAAGGCAAAGGCAGGATAGTGCACTCAGAGTTAGAGCTGGCCTGATCCAGCCCCATGAGAGTTTTCTGGCTCCCTCCTGACTCTCAGCTTCTCTTTGGACAGGTTGGACATCAACACTAATGCCTACACATCTCAAGACCTCAAGAGTGCACTGGCAAAACTCAAGGAGGGGGCAGAGAAGGAGAGTTCAAAGGAAGACAAGGTAAGTGACGTTCTTCTCAGGGAGTTAATCTAAGTGCTCAAGACAGCTTGATGTTGGGCAAGAATAGAATGGGCAGACAAGTGATCCAGATCCACTACAACAAAGAAATGGGTTGTTGTTGTTGTTGTTGTTGTTAAGTGCCGTCGAGTCGTTTCTGACTCATAGCGACCCCATGCACAGCAGAACGAAACATTGCCCGATCCCGCGTCAGCCCCACAATCCATGCTATACTCGAGCCCATCATCGCAGCCACTGTATCAGTCCATCTCCGTGAAGGCCTCCCCGTCTTTCGTCGACCCTCCACCCTACCAAGCATGACATCCTTCTCCAGGGAATGGTCCCTTCTGACAACATGA